AGGTGTCTTTTCCTATACACTCCTATCCCCCCCCCCCCCCAACACAATGTTGTCCATGGGTCTTTACCGCTCCTCACCGCCCAGGAGAGGCTTTGCTGCTTAGTTTGTTCTAACACCCTGTGGAGTCCGGTCCAGATCAGAGAACCTGGGCAGAGACCGCCCCGGCTCCTCCTGCGGCCCGCACTGTGCCTCTCACTGCCTGGCTGTGAGCCTGGGCTGGGTGCATAGGAGTATCCCACCCAGCGGAGGAGCGTGCGGGAGGGCAATGCAGGGGCGGGGGGCAGAGGCAGACAAGCAGCTGCTGGTATCAGCTCATGGGGCTGGAGGTCATTTGGTTTCTGGCTGACCAGGTAGCTGGTCAGGATTCGGTGTCAGCTGGTTAAATGCTGCTCTGGACTCAGGACACAAAGATTCTAAGGAATAAGGCAGAGTGTCTGTCCGGCTCACAGAGAGGAACTGCGGGTGAGGGGGACAGCGGGATGGAAATAAAAATAGATTCCTGCTCACTTCCCGGTGACACCTGAGGACTGCCGACCTCCGCTGACCACACGCCTCTCAGCCAGACAGGCAGCAGGCACGGGGCCCGATGGGCTCTGAGACAAATGCCGTATTTTGTAGTCATGAAGTCCATCAATCATCATCGCTGCTGCATGTCGTAGAAACGCCGTGTGGCCCCGCTTTGGCAGGCGGGCAAAGGGAGGCTCAGGTGGGCTCAGGGAGGGAGCCAACGTGAGGGGAATGATGGCTGCAAGCAGAAAAGCCATTTCTCGGCTCCGAAGCCCACTATTATCCACACGGACTCTCCGAAGTCCTCACCAGCTCTTCCAACAGACATTGATTTGGTTTTTATCACAAATGCCCTCATGTCTTTGAAGTCTCCCCGGCTCCTCTTGTCTGTGTGAGGAGCTAAGATCTGAATAAACCCTTTCATCTGGATTTCAAAGGCCCTATCCTCACGGTGCAGGCTGATAAACACACAGGAGCTCCTCGGAGCTAAAAGCACCCCCGCCCCGCTTCTCCCGCCTGCTCTCAATCATCCCTGGGGCGGCTGGGAGATCTGTCACGATCAGAGACCCCCAAGTGCCATTAAGCCTTTTAGAGGACGGAAGTGCAGTTTCAAAGGGGGAGATGGGCCGTCACCTCCTCCGGTGAAATACAGCGTGCTGTCATGAGGAGTCACAGCAGCGAGGCCTGAAACCGTCAGGAGTTCGGTCTCTTCAGTGGTTAGCAAATTGTTGGGTGCGCGGGAATGAAGAGCCGGAGAGACGGCTGACCTACTTACAGGAAAGAGCAGAGGCTCAGCCAGGGCTGCGGGCAGAGCCTCCCGGGCTGGGCGCGGGCTGTGCCTGGCGGTGACCCCGGCCCACCGGCCGGCAGAGAGGGGCTGGGCGGGTCCTGGGCGCCTGAGAGCAGGGTGCCGCCAGGCATCCCAGCTCTGTTTCCTCCGACCCTCTCTGCTCAGCGTCAGTACACTTGTCAGCACCGAGGCTGTGGTTTGGGTTGCTATTTGGAAAGCAGGTGAAATCAATAAGGGGACAGCAGTCTAGCCAGCCTTGCTTATTGAAGGCTCTGGGCACCCAGTCCTCTTCAAGTGTCTCTGATGTTTTTCGGGAATTCTGCTTGGAAGCCGGGAGGGTGAGGGCCTGTGAGGCAGTGCCCCATGTCACAGCCAGCAGCCGCCAGGCAGCCAGGGCTCTGGCCGAGCCTGGTGTGGAACGTGACTCATTAACACGCACACGCCTGCCTACGGCCCGGGAGCCACGGCGGCTTCCTGATGACGCTCCCGCCCCTGCTTTCATGGCGGGAGCAGTTCAGTCCTGAGAAGGTCGGATCTGGCCCAGGGTAGGAAAGCCTGGGAAGTGGCCCAGGAACAGGCGCGATGGGACTGAGTCGGGTGCAGCACCCATTGGAGGCCGGGAGGCATCCGGTGAAGGTATTTGGGAAGAGGTTTGTGGGTGCAGTAATTCCCGAGAGACTGCTCACTGTGAACAGCAGCGTGGGGAGCTGAGCGGCAGCTCGTGTGGCGCTGGCCTCGGGCCGCTGCATTGAGCCCGTGTGATGGGTCCAAGCCCCGCATCCCCATCGGCTGCCTGGGCCCGGGGCCCTTTGGGCTAGCGGACCGAGCCGCCTGGAGGGAACTGGTCTGACCTCTGTGCCTGCTGTGGGTTCGCACAGCAGCCTGAGGGCCTCGCTCCTCTGTGGGTGACACTTCCCACTGGAGACTTTCAGAAACTCACCCAGGACCATAAAAATAAAGAGGAAAAGGGGAATAAAAATTACTCAGGATAAGAGGCGCTCAGAGACCAGTCAGATCCTCGGTCTGCCCAGCCACTCGTGTCCACAGGGGCCTTGTGGTCCTTCCCCCAGAGACCTGCTCCCGTCCCGGCTCCTTTCTGTGTAAACTTGCTCCCCCCATATGCTCTCAGCCCATCCCCTAGCCCCGTGGTCGGCAAACTGTGGCTCTAGAGCCACCTGTGGTTCTCTGGCCCCTTGAGTGTGGCTTTTCCACAAAATACCATGGCCTGGGCGAGTCTATTTTGAAGAGGTGGCGTTAGAAGAAGTTTAAGTTTAAAAAATGTGTCTCTCAAAAGAAATATCCGTCGTTGTCCTGTTGGTATTTGGCTCTGTTGACTAATGAGTTTGCTGACCACTGCCCTAACCAGGCACGGAGCCCAGGGCCACAGAACTGAGCCCCTGCGCTGTGTTCAGTGTCAGCACTGGAGCCATGTGACTGGGCTCCAGCCGCCCAGGCTGGGAACAGCAGGGTCCCCCAGAATCCAAGGGAAAGCAGCCCACGGCGTGGAGAGAAGGGGGCACATGGCGCGGCTGCTCCTGCTCCAGACTGCCCGCTGGGCCGGAGGGTGCCAGGCAGAGCTGTCCCAATGGTGTGGGCTCACCTGGCGGTAGCAGCATGTGACGGACACACCCTCCACCTGCAGGAATTCCCCGTGGAGAATGGTCCAGAGTCAGAAAGAACACGCACAAGGCTGTGGCCTGAATACATGTTTAATGGACATATGTGATAGTGTTTACAAAGTCATGCGGTGCCTTATTTACCAAAAAGCAGGAGTCATGCGGTACACAGCGTGTGAGACATAAAACCAGAAGACAAACACAGCTCTTCCCAAATGGAATCTGACAAACGGCCGTCCAAACCTCATTTCCAGGCCTCACTCCGCTGCATCTCCACCAAGTGCGGCGTCTGAAACATTTAGTCTCTGAATCCCCATCCTGTGACCTAAACACTCCAAGTTACTTTTGCCCGGTGACAGCCCTCAGCGCCCCCGGCCGCACGCGGCCCTGGGTGGGTTGGCACTTTCAGGGTCTTGTTACCCATAGCTGTGCTCAGACTCAACTCTGTGGCCAGTCTCCCAGGGGGGGTGGGGGAGGAGGGGGGGGCAGGGCAGCAAGGCAGCTGCTCAGGAGAGAAAGCGCCAGGCTTATCACGCTGATATGATGCTAGGAGTTGACCTGTAGCTTCTCTCCTGGAAACGTGGCCAGTATGAAACGGTGAGGTCAGGATCATGGTTCCAAGCAGATCTAGGGGTGGGACACGGGGACCCTGTGGACACAGGTGGCTGGGCAGACCGAAATAGAAAAATAATTGCCTCACTCTCCACCCAAGTTCCATTCACAGCCACGCAGCGTCCTCAGCCGGGAGAGGCTCCGGTCCGGACAGCCTTGCGGGAAGCCTCCTGGTGCCTGTCGCCAGCTCGGCCACAGGTCCCACGGGTGCCGGCAGCTGTGTCTCAGGGCAGCTCCTAACCGGCCTCCTGGGAGCCTCGCGCAGGCCCACGTCCCCCACCACCCGTGTAACTGGCGTGGAGAGCAATGGCCGGAGAAGGGTCAGCCAGACCCGTCAGGACACATGGGCCTCACGCCCGGGACCTGTGGGTGGCCGGGGCCTTGGGCGTGGACACCTGGGTGTCAGAGTCCGAGTCACCCTTTGCTGTCCGGACAGACAAGCAGACGGGGACAGAGGACTCCAGTCGCTTTCCTCTGAGCAGACGCCCCAGGATTTTGGATGAGGCTCCCCCGGCTGAGCTTGAGTCTTGCAATGCCTTCCGGCTGACCTGCACCTGCCCCTGGACCTCGAGGAGGGAAGGCTGCCTTTCTGTCCCCGAGGCCAGCAACTCCTACTGTCCCCTCGCGATCGCCACCTCCATCGGCCCACACTCACTTCCTCACCACCTCCTCTCTCCTTCCTCCTCTTCCCGACCCTCTCTGGAACCTGCTCCACCCAGAACCTGGGTCCAGGCCTGTGGGAGGCAATGACTTCCCTGAAAAACGATGAGCCTGCTAAGTGACTGACTCTGTGGCGGAGCTGGGGAGGGCGGGCAGCCTGGCGAAGCCGGCAGGTGCTTGTTAGTTACCGACTGGCTGGGCGGTCTTTCTGAGGCTCCTGCCGGCTGCCGTGCGCTCTCTGGGGAGGGGTTGGTGGCTCCCCTGCTGAGGCCCCCTGTGCACACCGCCCGCCAGCGCCAGCGCCGGCTCTGCAGAGGCTCAGAGGAGCGGTGCCCTCCGAGCTCTTTCCTTTGAACTGACACCTGGACCCGCCGTCAGCGCACGCCATGCAGCGCACCGGGCACACGTGTGTGTGTGTGTGTGTGTGTGTGTGTGTGTGTGTGTGCAGGGTGTTCGTATGAACCAGTACTGCTTTAGTAGAAAAACATGGAACACAGAATCCAGTCTGAGTCCTGCTTCTGGTCCAATTTAAAGCGATCCCACCCCGGCAGAAAGATTCTGGGCTGGTGTCCCTGGCCTAACCCTGTTCCCCCGAGAGAGGGCACAGATGCCCGCTCCCCTGACCGCTGTCCGCACCCAGGCCTCCACCTGCTCCTTCCCCCGGGGTGTCCTCGGGGAGGGGTGCGGAGGGCACAGCCACCGAGAAACAGGTGGTGCCTGTCTTTCCTGGGAAGTCACCCCAGTTTTGCTAACTGCCCAGAATTAAAAGAATGTGTTTTCTTTGTGTTACCCTGGAGACTCCTAGTAACAGTTTTTCTCTTTTCTAAATTTAAAAATACTTCCAAAAGATTTCAAAGACATTTTCTAGGGCAACTTTGATGTGTTTGCAATTTTTATTGGGGGTGTGATATCTGTGTTCCTCATTATATTCATTCAGGGAAGAGCTTTGTGTATGTGTCTACGGCTTGAAATTTTAAGTTGTGTGTAATGTATGTACGCATGTCACTGTGTGCCTGGGAAAACGAGGGCCTGGCCCCTGGTTGCTGCTTCGGCTGGTTAGAAGGTGAAGGGCTGGCGGTCTAACGGCCGGGTGGACGCGGGGGAGGAGGGGCCATGTCCCCGAGCGGCCGCCCTGCTGAGCGGTGGCCTTCATGACCAAGGCGTGGCCTGCCCCAGCGGTCCAGGCTGGTGACGGCGTGTCCTTGAAGGGGCTTTCTTGACAAATGTGACCGCTCACCCCACAGGAAGTGCTGGCAGGGGCCCGAGTCCCGCCCGTGCAGCCTGCAGCCGGGAAGCGGACAGAAGGCTCTGGCCGTGAGGCAGCCTTCGGAGCGACAGGGACGGAGGAACTCACAGCACCTCCCGCAGGCGGACTCGGAGATAAATCTGCTTCCCTCTCTGTTCTGAGGGACTCCTGCTACACGGGCTGCCAACGTGGGGACCAGGAGCATGGGAACGACACAGGGAGGGGAGGAGGGGCCCAGCACTAAGCAAGGGGCCTCCTCGGGGCATTCCAGGACTCTATTAGCCTTTCCAGAGCCTTCTTGTTTAACGCACTCACCAGCCTCGCTGGGCCACCCTCTGACGGGTTTGCTGGGATTCTCCTGGCCACGCCGCCAGGTAAGTAGTGACTTCACCTATCACCCCCACTACAGCAAAGACAGCCACGCGAGGCTCACACAGCGAGATACAAAGTGACGCGTGTCCTCAGCAAGCGCACAGGCATGGGGAGGGGGGGATGGGATGGGGGGGTTAACACATCAGATTTGGACACGTGCACGACTGGAAGCAATGCGGAGTGGGATGTTTGGGCCCACACGCTGGGACAGAGCTGCGGCTATGGCAGAGCCCACTGCCGACCTCTGCCATCGCTCTCAGACAGAATGTGGTGACTTTGTGGGGCGTCTGAGCGGCAGAGAAAGAATCGGTATGGTTGTGCGCACCCAGATGATGTACAAACACAACCTGCTCCTGATCATCTCTCTTGGGTATAATCTCCAGCTACCCGAAGATGCTCTAAGGGCGAGATCAACCTTTTAAGTAACTCACTAAGCAATTGGATAGTGGCCTTTTACTAACCAAGGTCAGAAATAATTTGGAGGCTGAAGCCCTGGACCAGGATTCAAACAACAAACCAGACTGTGACTCTCCCTGCAGCCAGCTGCCCACACCGGTGCTTGCCAGGCCGCGGCGGGCGGCCCCTGACCTTCAGCGCAGGCACCGCGCTCAGCGCTGCCCACGCCTGTCTGCATCCCTGGCCTGGGGCAGAGCCGGTGCCGGGTGGCAGCAGACGCTCTCAGGCTTATGATCTGAGGGGAGCTCAGTGCAGGGCGGGCAGGACGAGGAGACGGGAAAGAAGCCTTTCAGACAATGATGGCAGAGCAAGGTGAGCCGCGTGAGTCAGCGCCTGGGGTCCCCCGTGGGTGTCGGGGAGGAGCCTGGAGGGAGGAGAGTCGTCTGCTGGGAACGCGGGGGGTCAGGGAAGAGCAACTCACGGACGACTCTCAGGCCGCTGCCCGGCTACTTCATGAGCTCCTGGTAGAACTCGGAGCGCACGAAGCGGGGCAGCGAGTCATTCTCCATGAGGGCGTGCACCCGCTTCTGGGCCACGTCGAAGCTGCTGGGCGAGGGCTCCAGCAGGTTCCTCAGGGTGATGTCCTTGGTGAGGTGGTCGATGTTCACCTGCGGGAGCGCACAGGCCGTCAGGGCGCGGAGGGGGATGGCCCCAAAGAGTGAGGACGTGGCTTCCACGTTCTAGGTCGTGGGAAAGGCCACTCGGTGAGGACGCGGCCGTTAGACACGCCCTGGGCGTCTGTCCCACCGCTGTGCACCTGAAGCCAGGGCCCAGCACTGGCCTGTCCTGTCGGGAGGGGAAGGGTGTGCGTGTCTGTGTGAAGGGGAAGTGGCTTCTCTACGGTCATGGAGCTCAGGGGTGTGTTTGGATCCAGGTGTGCACCCGTCTCGCCTGGAGGCAGGTCGTTTAACGAGCCCTGGGTCCCTAGATGGGGCCACCCTGTGCTTGTGCTGGTAACTCGGCCAGGGGCCTATCTGTGCTGGAACGCCACTCCCAGGGCCTCCGTTTCCCTGACAACACCCCTGTTTGAGTAAGGGATGTGAGAAGGTTTTCCTGGGGCTCCAGGCATGAGCCCTGGCCTGGGTTCCATGAAGAGGAACTGAGTGGTGGGAAGGTAGGCTAGAATTGGGGAATCCTGGGAAGTAGGGAACTCATGTCTGTGATGACATCATGAAGAGAGATTCTTGCTGGCAGGGAGAGTGTGGCCAGCACCCTGGCCTCCTCGTCACAGGGTGGGAGGCTGAGGGGCAGGAGGGGGCTCTGCAGAGAAGCCTGAGCTAATTTCCACTGCAGCATGGAACCCCGTAATCTCCAGACTCTCCCTTCTCCCCCTTGACCCACAGGCCCCTACACACCATGGTCTTTCATCCCTGCAGCTCCGAAGGGGCTCACTGTGGGTAGAGAGGTCTATGCTTGGTTCAGACATTCAAACATGCACCTCTGGCCGAAATCGGTTTGGCTCAGTGGATAGAGCGTCAGCCTGCCGACTGAAGGGTCCCGGGTTTGATTCCGGTCAAGGGCATGTACGTTGCTTGCAGGCACATCCCCAGTGGCGGGTGTGCAAGAGGCAGCTGATCAATGTTTCTCTCTTATTGACGTTTCTAACTCTCTATCCCTCTCAATTCCTCTCTGTGTAAAATCAATAAAATATATTAAAAAGAAACAAAGAAACTATCTTTCTTAAAAAACAACAACAACAACAAAAAAAAACAAAAACAAAAACAAACAAACATGCACCTCTGGAAAGAATTAGCGATGACTGATTCATAACCAGAGAGATGCTGCCCACCTGCGGGGCTCCTCGGACCACGTGGGGCTGGCTGCCCTTCGTGGGAGATTCAATCCCCGAATGGACGCAGGGGTGCAGGGCGGTATAGAGAGCTCTGGCCCGCACCACGCACAGCTCTCACCACGGAGAGCAGCACAGGACCCCAGAGGCTCTGCAATCAGCACACACCTGGTCGCCGGTGGTGACTGGTGGAAGCTGCTCTTCCCACTGTCTCATCTGGCCACAACCAGACCTCCTGGAGCGGGCACCCCACAGCCACCCCCACCCCCGGCCCGAGCATAAATGCATAAACTGCCGATGGGGTGTGGACAAAGCGGTGGCGGAGGGAGGGGAAAGGAGTTCACACAGGAAGAAAGCAGGGGAGGGGAAGAGAGAGATGGCAGAGTTAGGGACACTCGCTAGGTGTTAATAGCTGGGATACTGATGTGTGTTTTCACATCCACCGCTTAATGCCGTCCTTATGGCCCTGCCCATTGTCCTCCTCACCCCTTTTCACGAAGGAGGACGCTAGGTTCAGGGGGACCCACTGATTCATTCAGATCGCAGTCGGTGTCACTGCTGCTGAGTGAGACCACGCTGCTTGGCGCGGTCCAGCAGGACGAGTTCCTGGCTGCTTGGCCACACGGCCGCCTCTGCACCCAGGAGGTGCTCAGGAATGGCGGCCACTCCCAGTCAGAGGGGCCGTGGGCTGCACACCGTCTCCCAGGCTTGGCCCTCTGGGGAGCTGCCGAGGGAGCCTCCGGACCACACTCACCCCCTCGGGACCCACCTCCTTCGGGGCCTCGGCCCGGATGAACTCTTCGTAAATCTTCTTGGCCTTCTCAGCCATCTTGGCCGCGGACGTGGTCTTCTTGAAGTCCTCACAGGCCATCCAGAACTCCAGGTTCTCCTCGCTGAACTCGGACTTCAGGAAGCTTTTGAAGCTGGCAAGTCCATCTGGCAGGGAAGAAGGTCACCGAAGAAACAGATAAATTTATCTATCGTATGCCTGTCATCTGTCTCACCCACCGCCACCTACCTGTCCGTCACCGTGTCCTGCGATGTCACCTAGGCTGCCCATCTCTGTCACTGAGGAGGAGCCTTACAAATGTGAACACATGTACTTCCCCTATGACCCCTGAGGCAGAGGTGATTAATATCCTATTTCCCAGGTGAGGCCAGAGCCGCGCAGCAGTGCCCTGAGTAACCGGCTGGCAGGGGACGGAGTTGGGTGGGGACCAAGTGCCCATGTTCCGGAGAGGCTGGCCAGTGTCCAGCACCCAGGATGCTGTCACAGAGGTAGGGACGCTGTGACCTGGTGCACGGCCCTCGCCCACTAGGATTCCGTTGGAAACTGCTCTGGGAACTGGGCTGGCAGTGGCAGTGCCTGAACGCTGACTTAACCCTTTCCTCTCTCTCAGATGACGTCTGCGGGCCAGGCCTATGCTGAGCCATTGGGTGGGTGAACAGATGTTCTGTCTGAGGGAGCAGTGGGGTCTGAGGAAGCAGGAGAAGATGAAGAAATACAAAGAACATGTGACAATGAAGGGGACAGTGATGGAGGGGCCTCCTGCCTCCGAAGGAGGGGCCTGCAGTCCATCCCTGGTCAGGGCGCATGTGGGAGGCCACCAACCCTGTGTCTGAAGACGGGCAGGTGGAGGGGTGTGTACCACCGAGCAGCGACCGGCCAGCAGTCACACATCGGGCTTTGAAACAAGGTGTTAAAGGAACATCCACACGCAGACACGGGCTGGGCATGCAGCGCCCGATGCTCTCATTGGCTGGCATGTTGCTTGTGTCCTGCCCTCCAGCTGTCACTGCCCGCAGCGGGGCGGCAGCCCTGGGAGGGGGAGGCGCTAGCACGGAAAAAGGGAACGCGGTCTTCACCATCTCCCTCCTCTCTGAAGCTGCCTGCCGCTTTCTCACAGACACAGACCTAAAGCAGACATCCTGACAGGTCTGCAGAGCCCACGTCCACTTTTATTTAAGGAAGGCCCCGAAGCGGGGGAGGTGTGCGTTTGCACCGGCTGGTCCCATGGCACTCCGTGAATGCGGGCCCTCCCGAAGCCGGGAAGGTGCACGAGGCCCCGAAAGAGGTGGGTCCTGAGGGGGTGAGTGTGGTCCGGGAGGCTCCCTCGGCGGCTCCCTGGAAGAGCCACGCCTGGGAAACGGTGTGCAGCCCCAGGACCCCACTCCCAGGCGCAGTGGGAGTGACTGTCCTAGGACCTCAGCTCGGTCTGCTCCTCACTGTCCCCACTAGCTTCTGGAAGCTCTTAGCTCTCGCTGGGAGCTTTTCCTACTGAATTCATTTCCTCTGACCTAATTTCATCTATTTCCCATTCCCTCGAGTTGGTCTCCTCCTTTTCGTAGACGCTAACTGCCCCTGCATTAGTCACCGCCCAGCACGGGGATTTGTAACTCCGTGATGGTTAAACCAGGAGTGCGGGGTCCTTTGGTCAATGCATAGTCTGGGTATGTCCCTGGCCTCCGTGCCTGCGAAGTCCCTGCAACCAGTCCACCTCTGACGAGGCAGGATGGCTCCGTGACAGCGAGCTGGGCCAAGTACCAGTGACCCGGATTCCAGCAGGGCAATGGCATGCCACCCCTCCCTGTGCGACCTTAAAAACGGCTCCTACTGAGCACCGGGCGTGGGCAGCTGCTGAGCAATTTCCTCTGGAAGCCTCGCTGGAAAGGCCACTTAGAATCCACCTCACACTGTGCCCCAGGCAATCAGACGGCTCCCCCCCTCCCTGCCCCGGTGGCCTTCGTGCTGGCTGCAGCACAGGGACAGGCTGTCACGTCTGTGCTGAGAGGAGCAAGGCCCGCTATTCTCGCCGTTCCCGTTCTCACTGTTCCTTTTGTTTGTTTGTTTGTTTCTGTTAACCCTCACCTGAGGATACTTTTCTCAGTGATTTTAGAGAGTAGAAGGGAGACAGAGAGAGGGGGAGAAAGATGCGAGAGACACATGATTGGTTGTCTCCCTCATGCACCCTGATCAGGGATGGAACCTGCAACTCAGGTACAGGCCCTTGACTGAGAATTGAAACCTAACCCTTTTTTGTGGGACTCTCTAACCACTGAGCTTACCATCCAGGGCTCTTGTTTCTTAAACAAAGGTGTCTGGTACCCCTGTCAGAATGGGAACCTTTGCAGGCACTTTCAAGCTGCCAGGAAATGCAGGTGGGACAGTCTGCTGAGTCCTCACCCAACCAGCTCTGAGGCTGGAGGTCACAGCCTCAGGGAGTCTGAGGCCCATTTTCTGCCTCCACGTCTCCATCGGCGCTCTGAGTTATTCTGCCTCTTTGTAAAGAGAGAGAGGATTCAGGCTCTCACACACTGTTCCTCCCGAGGACGGCACCAGGACTCCCGATGGTGCCTAAGGAAGGAGCTGGAATGCCTGGGCAGGCCTGGCGCTGACGTGGCAGCGCACTGAGCCCCACAATACTGCCTCAAGGAGTTCGATAGATGCACTTCAAGCCCAGACTGAGGAAACGGCTTTGAGCTCTGTTGGTCTGGGCTGTTCTTTGCTCATCTGGCTTCTGAGGATTCGCAGGGGGGCCCCTTACAAGGACCCTCTGACCCCCCCTCCTCCTATCCCCCTCGTACCTTCCCCTCTAACCTCTGGCTCATTCCTCTTAGATGCTCTGTTATTCCTCGCAGGTCCTGGTGGGTCTGACTTTAACGGACTCCAGAGCACAAGTCTCTATTCTGCAAGCAACACACACGTCCTCTTTGTCCCTCCCAGCCCTGCCCAGCAGAGTCCCCTTCCCACATTCCTGCCGATTCGCAGGCTGTTCTCTGCGGAGCCTGCACAGCCTCCGCACACCTCCGCACACCTGCTCAGGGATCACTGCCTCGGAAGCCCGAGACCCCGCTAGTCCCCCGTGAGCCCTGGGCTGGGACGTCCGGGACCACCCCAGAGCCGCCCTTACGAGTGGGCAGCTTCTGACATCCGTGTAAGTGCAGCCCTAACACAGAACACACACATGCATATCTATCTACCCCTCGAGAAACAGGAAACATTACTGCGGAATTTCTGGCCTCAAGCTCACTCTGGTTTGCAAACTGAAAGACTTCAGTCCCTCAGCGGATGCTGAGGTGTTAACACGAATTGCCTCACTCACCATCCCCCTCTTTCTCACCCGGCAGCTTCTGTCCCCCAAAGCCTGAGACACAAACTGCTGCCCTCAGCGTCTGCATGGCTGGAAGGGACTGTGCATATAATCTACAACCTTCTCCTCGGTGGTTTTGAAACCATGGGAATAGTTCTGCTAATTCTCAGGTTTCTGCAAGGAGCAATACACGCTCAGCCCCAGGGCACTGAGCTCCCAATGCATCCCTCTGCACCTGCCAGCTGGCCACTGGCCCCAGCCCCCGCCAAAGACAAGGAGGAAGTCAACTGGTCAACATCAGTGTTTTCCTCTTAATTGACCTCATGGATTTTGGGTTCCAGAAGCAGCAGAATCCATTTGTCACCCCTTATGTCACTAGCACTTACTGGACACTGCATGGGTCAGGGCAGGGTGCTCTGTTCAGCACAGAATGTGAAAATAATCAACAAGGATTGAGGACGTTCTGGATGGGAGAGCTGGTGTTTTGCCTTGAGATCCTGAGCCGGAAAGCAAAACTTTCCCACCCAAATGAGACAAAATGTCCGGGTCCAGTGAGCACACACTGTTTGTTATGTTCTCTGTGCCCGTTAATCATGAAGAGCCTGTGAGAAACGGTTTTTTAATCCTTATTTTCGCAAGGCATCAAACTAAATGTCACGTTCCATTCTTACAGTGAAGATGGAGAAATATGGGTTCGGTATCGTAGGCAGAATAATTATTAGAGTGGGCTAGTCAACAAATATTCATTTTCCACTTATTGTGCACTTCCTGTTGCAAAGTAATGGAGGTCAAAGGCCAAGTCCTGGCTGCCAATGAGTCTGTAATCTGTAGGAGGAGGAGAAGGACTCTAAATGGAATAAAGTAGAAGCTGTGGAGCAGGGTCACCAGCGTGAAGGGGCACAGGAAAGTAGACAAGTGTCTCTGGAAATGCAGAGGGGGCGGAAGGGCAGGCCCTCGATGAGCTCTGAAGGGGAGGGAGGTGAGCACAGTGGTGCCCGCAGAGGGCTCACGGTGGTAAGCCGGCAGGCGGGGCAGTGGTGTGACGGCAGACCAGCCACAGAGCACCATGGGGCCTCCTGGACATTGGAAATGGCACTCGATACCGTCAGCCTTGGGAATGCTCAGGATGTGGGTCAGGGCAGTGTGCCACGTGGACTGGCATGGCCCAGGCAGGAGTTCTCGCTGACACCTTAGTCCTGCCTCGAATGAAGCTCTGAAAGGCATGCTGCCAGGGGAAGTCAGCCAGGCCCTCACACCCAGGACAGAGGGTCGCAGAAGCATGGGAGCCCCACAGCCCAGCGGCGCTTACACGGCTCTCAGTCCTCATCAGCCCACCGAGAGGCTCAGCTGGCAAGGGTGGGCTTCCACTCCTGATGACGTACTCAGGGGCACACGGCGAGGACACATGCACACAGGACAGTGGACATGCCATCAGCCGTAAGCTGCTCTCAGGACGCTCACCCTCCGTTCTCACCACACCCCCGTGGCACCTTCCCTTGTGGAGGGCGCTTTGGAAATGTAAGAAATGATCCGGCCATGGACGGCGTCCCCCCTCTCCCTCCGCTGCTCTTGTCAAACCGAGGGCCACTTACAGCTGCTCTGCAGGAGCTTGTCCAGGGAGCCGCGCCACTGCAGGGCCTCTTCGGGCGACGGCCTGGGGCAGGGAGGAGACAGAACGAGGGGACAGCGTTAGTGGTTACACCACACCAGCAGCCACGGCCCATCCTCAGCACAAGAGGCCAGCCACTGTGGATGTCAGTCTGGCCAGCAGTGTGCGGACGGACACACTCCAGACCTGTCCACAGGCTGGGCGCCCTCTGCGTGGGTTCCGTCTGGAGCAGCGGTTCTCCACCTTCCTCATGCAGGGACCCTTTAATACAGCTCCTCATGTTGTGGTGACCCCCAACCATAATATTATTTTCATTGCTACTTCACAACTGTAACTCTGCTACTGTTATGAATCATAATGTAAACATGCATGTTTTCCAATGGTCTTAGGTGACCCTGCTAGCGGTTCTCAACCTGTGGGTCGCAAAAATTAGTTGTGAAGTAGCAACAAAAGTAATGTTATGGTTGGGGGTCACCACTACATGAAGAACTGTACTGAAGGGTCACGGCATGAGAAAGGTGGAGAACCACTGGTCTAGAGTTCCTAAGCAGAAAAACAGCAACCAGAGAAAGGGAGTTAACAGCTAGTGAGCCCGCAGGGAGGAAAGGAGCCTGGAGAGTGTAAGCTGAACGGTAATAAGGTGACACCTTCTGAGCAGGCCCGGTGGATGCTGTGAGCCATGCTGCCGAGGGAAGCTCCCTGAGACAGTGGGCAGGAGGGGGGCCTCAGAGGGAGAGAAGTGGGTCCCGGGAGCCAGTGAAGGGTGGTGCTAAGGCAGCCAACAGGGGGCGGAGTCAAATGCTGGGGGCGGGGGGAGTAGAGGGGGCATCTTCAAGCCGCCAGTCTTAGTGGGTGACCTTATACCTGACAAGAAGGAGCTAGAGGAGAGGCTAGAACAGTGACTTCCCAGGCCCAGAAGTGCTCAAGAGAAGAGAGAACGGGCCAGTGCAGAGGGCAGAGTGGCAGGGCAGAGCAGGGAGAGGGCAGAGGGGGTGGGCATTGTTCAGAGTGGATGGGCACCTGCCCCCGAGGGAGGTCTAGGGGGACAGAGCAATTGGCCCTTCTGAACAAGGCAGGGGAGCCAGCTGGAGGGTTGGGACAAGGGCAACTTTTTTCTATCTTATTCCATGATTCACTATATTTTTTCCTAATGAGAATAAAGATATATCCAAAAAATAGGAAATGCTTGTTTACAAAAGGATTATTATTTTTTTTAATAGATGATGGGGCTAAAAATAGCATCAGGTTTATTTTAGCTTCTAAGGTTTATTTCTTCTCTGGGAGAAGAACATGAGTGAAAACAATACAGAGAAATGTTAAAGTGGGGGGCCGAGGTCGTGGGAGGACACAGAGCAGTCCAGTCCGGTTAGCTGGGAATGTGCCCCCTATGAGATGGGGGTGGGGGTGGGGCGGGAGCTCAGGGGAATGGTCTCCGGAGACATGACAAATTTCCAAAGCAATTCCCACTCCCGTACAAAGGGTGGGAGGACAGGAAGACAACAGGAGCAGCCTCAGGTTTTCTCCACGCTGCTCTGCCTGAGCCCTGTGCACTGAGCGAGTCAGTGTCTGTGGACATTAAAGCAGAACATGGAGGTGGGATGTGGTCCTGGCCTTACTTTAACACTAGAGGCCTGGTGCATGAACACTCATGTACTGGATGGGGGTCCCTCAGCCCGGCCTGCCCCCCTCACAGTCTGGGAGCCCTCAGGGGCGGGTGGTAACCCAGCAATCAGGGGAAGGCGATGCCCCATCACACCTCTGCTGCTGCCACTGCCAGCAGTGCAAGCCTTGGCTGGCCCTGTTTGCCTGAGCCTCGGGCGGCCCTGGGTAGCTGGGGGACTGGGGGAATGGGCACTGCCATCTTTACGATGGTGTGAGGGTCAATTAGCATATTCCCTCTTTATTATATAGGATGAATTCCAGAGATCAGTGAGCACCACGTCACTACCTTTAAAACAGACTCTCTGGCCCCAGCCGCTGTGGCTCAATGGATAAAGCATTGGGCTTTGGACCAAAGGGTCCGGGTTCCATCTGGTCAAGGGCAGGTGCCTCAACTGCAGGCTTCTCCCTGGCCCAGGATCTGGCTGGGGCACGTGCAGGAGGCAGCCAGTCGATGTGTCTCTCTTGCATCAATGTTTCTCTCTCTTTCCCTCTTTCTAAAAACCCATGGAAAATATCCTTGGGTGAGGATTAGCAACAAGAACAAACAAACCGAACTCCTGACCAGTATCTGCTGTGGAACGTGGGGCCCGCGCTGCACACGGGACCAGCCCCCTTCCTGAGAGCAGGAAACAGACCCCCGTCCTCCCTCCACTCCCCCTGCAGCTGGGAGCAGGGTAATGAGCGCAGGAGAAGGGAGATGCCACGCAGGTGAGGGAGTAGGGAAGGAAGGACCTGCCTGCCTCCCGCCAGGCAGCTGTGCACAGTCCCAGGTCATGTGAACCTAGAAAAGCCGGGACAAAGATGGAGATGGAAAGAAGGGCGGTAAAAGGAGTCCTTCACTTTACACGCGTGTGCCACGCCTCTGGTGTCCGGGGAGAGAAGCGTGGGCTCTGAGTCCATCTGGCCCACCTCCCCGGGACCCCCTCCTGCACCTCCACCTGGGCGCTCAGAGGGAGGCCCTGGATGTTCCCGCAGGATGGGCTGCGGCCGCGTGAGGCCAGCACGTGAATGCTGCCCGCTGAGCTACTGAGGAGCTGGTGCCAGGAGCCGGCGCCCTGCCAAGATGCCTGTGTCTGCAAACCTGTGTCCCCGAACCAAGGCGGTGTGAGTGTGGGAGGTGGGAGGTGGGAGGTGGGAGGTGGGAGGTGGGAGGTGGGAGGTGGGAGGTGGGGGCAGGAGGCCGCCTGCAGAAGCCCAGTTGGGGACACTGGGTTTGGGCGGGAGAGACTGCGCGCTGTGCGATACGTGGAGAGCTGGCCCAGTGTGCACACCTCCAACAAGGAGCATTCTCTATGCACCCCCCCCCCCACCCGCCCCCGCTGGGCCTGGCACTGTCTTGGAGAAGTTGTCTGCCCCTCTTCCTCAGGGGGATCTCTGGCGTCTCCCTGGGGGGCAGCACCAGGTGGGCGCCAGGGCCCAGCACCAATGGGTCAGAGGGCCACCTGCCCCTGGCGGCAAAGAGCCAGTGACGAGGTGGCGGCACCTTCTCTATGCAGGGCATGGTCCGAGGTGGCCTGCAGTTGTGTGTAACCGTCCTGCCATGCAGACGCACTCCAGCTCAGGAGGCCCAGTGAGGCACCTCCGCCCCCAAGTGCCAGGCCTGCGGTGAGGCGGGAGCACTCAGCTGCCCTCGGGACACGGCGGGCCCCCCCTCCCCCCCCGACCACCACCACTCACTTCTGGGTCTTGGCTGGCTTCTCCGGCTTCGCTGGCTTCTCGGGCTTCTCCGGCTTCTCGTTGTAGGGGATGACCAGGTCGACAGCCGGGTCTGGCTTCTGCAGGAGCGTCCCCAACTTGATCTTAATCTCCTTGGCCCTGAGGAGAGACGGAGGTGAGAACAGCATGCGTGTACACCACCCTGCTTATGTGCCCTCTCACCCTGACCCTGTTTGTGTGTGTCCTTCAGGCCGCACACGGCGGCCCTGTGGCATTGCTCCCGTCTGCAGGTGAAGGAGCGAAGGGGACTCTAAAGGCTCACTCCACGGCCGGCCAGCGAGGATGGAGGAGGCGCGCTGTCGGCCTCGGCGTACAGACTCCCAGCCCCAGGGGTCCTCCTGGCGCTGAGGGTCCGCCCGGCCCTGCCAGTAATTAGAAGCAGAACTTTTGAAAAGATAATCACGTTTCTCGGCCCAAGCTCCGTGCCTTCCTCTGTAAGATGGTCAGCACAGACGTGTTCTCCAGCCATTGCAGCCTCAGACACGCATACGACCCACCTGGCAGGGTGCCTGTCGGCCACGGGGATTGCTCACCTGGCTTCCCAGCCCCTCGCCGTGCTCCCCAAGGGCTGTCGCCGTGTCCTCCGCACAGTGAGGCCCACCGGCGGCCCGCGGCCTCTGGGCGGCCCTCCCCGCATCGGCCCCCGCCCTGCCCACTCGCGGGTGAGTCCGTGGGGGGTTCTGGGCTCGGCTCCAGCCGTGTACATGCCCAGGCTCCAAACTGCCCCAAGGTGTCATTGTTTCACCAGAATCTGAGCTCAAGAAGGCCCCTGGCAAGTCTTCGGCATTGACCCGCGAGGCCGGCGTGTGCACTGGCAGAGCCATCTGTGTCCTGGCGTGTGCACCGGCAGAGCCATCTGTGTCCTGGCGTGTGCACCGGCAGAGCCACGCTGACTGTCCCACCGCTGGCGTCAGCGGCCTATGGTGGGGTTTGTCATATCGCAGGGCGGACTGATTAATGTGTCTGTTTTCCAAGCTAACGGGGGAAACCGAGTCTTAAGTGCCTTTAACTTCCTCGGCCAGAGCAGTGCTTGGTAACATAATCAACAGACAAAAATATTTGCCAAAGGGAACTAAAAATACCTCCTGCTGCTGCTCACAGCCCACTCCCATTTGTCTCCCAGTTCAGGCCGTCACAACCAAAGTCTAAGGGTGGACGGCCGCGCCGAGGCCAAGCTGAGTCATATGCGCTCCCTCGCCCACGGGTGAGCACAGTGCACACGGTTGGCGGCTGTGGATGATCAGGAGGGGAAGATACATGTAATTTACAAGGAAATCCCGTGTAATTTACAGACTCCATGACACGGAATCCGGACCCGTTGCCTCTGCACCATCTTTCCCTTTCAGTTCTCCCTGCTCTGTGCTGCCCGACCTTCCCGGGGCCGAAGCCGAGGGGCCCACCACAGCGGCCAGGCCTCAGGGCCGGAGACAGACCAAGCCGCTTTGACCCCAGGCTCTGTGTGCGGCTTACACTAGCCGGTCCACATTTTCCTCTGCCTGGCCATCAGACTGAAACATAGCCTGTCCTACAGAAGTCCCTGCGCAGGGGAGGTCCCGAGCTCGGAGCCCACCCCACACAGCAGCTGGAGCGACGGAGGAAGCCAGGGCTCCCAACCAAACTCAGCCACGTGAGCGTCAACACCAGGTTAAAGCGACCGGAAAAGCTCCATCACTGAGGACGACACCGCCACTCCCATGGACCTCTGGAGGGGAGACGTGGCCTTTTGTGCTTATCTAAGACAGGTGACCCTGTGCCATGCCCGGGCTGCGTGCAGGCCAGCCCTGCCCGGTGCCGCCCCGGGGAGAACTCCCTCCGCCCCTCCCCAGGCCACCCCGGCCCCAGCACCGTGCACCTGTCTTCACTTTAGCCCCGACCGGAGTTCCCCTAGGCTGGGCCTCGGTGGGCTGGTCCTTTGGGTTTTCATTTTGCTTTTCCCCTCTGTTCTGTTTCTCCTCTCTCTCTCTCTCTCTCTCTCTCTCTCTCTCTCTCGCTCGCTCGCTCTCACTCTCGCTCTCACTCTCTCTCTCTCTTAGAACTGATGGCGTTTGTAAGGGGCAGAGGGATATGTGCCTCCTGCCGCAAAGGCAGCTGCTGAGACTGAAGCAGGGCTGGCTCGCTCGCTGCGCAGTCCCCGAGGACGGCCTGGGCTTGTGCCTCCAGGAGCTCAGCGTCCATGAAGCCTGCAGCCTGCACCGGCTCGTGCTTCCCCGGGCGTGTCTGCGGGGCGCGGAGCACCAGGGTCCTCAGGGTCCCCACCGTGTCAGGGGCCTCTCAGAGGAGCAGAGCCGGAGCAGGTGGCTCTCGGGCAGCAGAGGGCCATGCCCGGGGTTGGGAAGGATGCAGGAGTGACCCTGTGTTGTCCTCTGCTGCCGAAGGGCAGGATGGGGTCCCGTGAGGACCAGGCTCGGAGTGCTGGTTGGAAACAGAGACCAGGAAGATCTGCTGACGCTGCCTTCACTGTCTGCGTCGCCCAGGCACCACTCCCCTGCTCCAGGTTTTCCGGGGTCACTTTCGGGAAGCCATGTCCCTCAGAACAGTGTCTGTGCATGGTGGTGACATGACAAGATGGCCCCAAACCTTTCCAAGCGGAAATGAGCCACGCCTAGAGCAATTTCTCCTGCCACTGTTCCAGTGGGTTTTGGGGTGACCCGTACCCCCACTGGTGCTTGGAGTATCGCTGACAGAAGCCAGAGCCCAGCCCCCCAGCACAGACCCGGAGCCCCGGCCTGCCCTCAGGCCTGCCCGGGGCTGGCACTGAGGAAGGCGGTTCTGGGGAGACCTCTGTCAGGGCCACCTCGGGCTCAGCCAGGTTCAAGGTCAGCAGTAAAGGCGAGCATGTGGTGGGACGGTTGTTAGGAGTTTGTGAGACTACACAGTAAGTGTTATTATTGTGTCACACACACAGGAACACGCAAAGGCTGAGGAACTGACAGATGCTGAAGCATGTAAAATATTTTTCTTTTTTTTTTTTTAACTAGGATTAAGTGTCAATGTTTTTGCTTTGCTGCTCTAGAGTTTCTGGAATGAATTTAATCTCTCCCCCCCCCCCCCACAAGACACCAAGGAAGTCAGCCCAACAGACGTTCACACCGAGCACTGTGTTTCCCCTTGAACGTGACCTTGCGAGGGTCTGACAGAGTGAACATTTGAACAGCTCCATCCGGGTAGTTTACAGGTTCGCTGGTCAGCAGGTCGGAAGCCGCCTGGCGCTTCCCAATGGGTGCTCGTCCCCTCGTCTCAGCCCGTTCCCTCTGCACACAGGGAAGCTGGTTTTAAAGTAAAAACACCTGCAAATGCCTGAAAGGGGTTTTCATAGAAGGCCAGAGGACACTGCTGCTTTCCCCGACGGCTCACCGGGGGGTTCACACTGAACGGAACGGTGAGTGCAGCTTGTGAGGGTTAAGCCCGAGCCTGCCTGTGCCCTGGCTGGGAATCAGGTTTCAGGAAGCTCTGGACTGCCTCACTACTTCCTGCTAACGGCAGACCCAGTGCCCGAGGAAAAGTCCGGATCGCCAAAAGCAGAAACGTGGCTGAGCTGTTCAGAGTGCTGTGATAGTCACGCAGCTCTGCTCAGCACCCAGCTATTCACAAAGGCCTGTGCGGGCGGGTCCCAGCTGTAGACACCCCTCGCCTTGGAGACTGGGAGCTGGCTGTTCCCTGTCGTTGGTGCAAGAGGATGGGAACTCCAGGGTCTGGGACACACACTCTGGGATGACCCTGCAGCGGGACAGCCCCCCACCCCCACTGTCCCAGCCCCGTCTCCTCCGCCCTCCCGCCGGGCACTCCTGGAGCACTGCCATCTCTCCCAGGAGAAGGCTCGTCCCGAGAGCACAGTCCACGTGGGTTCTGTGCGCCGTTCCAGATGCAGCCCTGAGTCTGGCATGCACAGGTGCCATGAAGTCTGGCTCTGAAAACCGATGAACCAATAAATGAAGGGATCGAATTGCCAGGTTACAGAAAAGCTGTGTCCTGGGTGGGGCATGAGACACTGGGGGGCGGGGGGGCAGTCAAGGACGAGGCGTCTAATGGGACAGGTGGGGGCAGTTTCACACAGACAGGTGGGCTCCACCTGGGCGTCTGCCTCAGGCCCCCCCAGCGGGACGGCTCTGCTGGGAAGAGGCCGAGGGTCCACACAGGCTCCGCCTGAGACCCGGTCCACCAGGACCTAAGCAAATGGCTCCGAGGCGCCAGGTGTCCCCTGACAGCCTCCCACGCAGGCTCTCCTGACCCAGCCGTGTGGGGACAGGAAGGAGGAGGACAAGGAGGGGGCTGGGAGCTCAGGACGTGGAACCCATTCCCAGAGAAGGTTTCTTCAGGGCCCTCAGGGACCACCCAGTTCAGTCCCGTCCAGCCCGCCCCAGCTGCCGGCCCTCTGGCTGCGGGAGATTGATTGGACTGAATCAGATGAGGGATGGAATCAGGGAGGAAGGAGCTGCCCGGGAGCTGTCTGCCTCATAGGAAACCCCACAAAGCTGTCCCCACAGGAGTATAGGACTATTCGAGGCTCCCACAAACCTAATAAATACCCAGGAAAGAGAAATGAGATGAAGAAAATGCAAAAAAAAAAATGTGTATGGTATTATTACTATTAATGTATTATGAAGTAACTCTAGGAGTGAGAGCGGTGAGTGCAAACCATTAAATCACAGCCTGGTGGGTTTGGGCTTTGCTCACAGTGGTGGTTAGTCACCTAACGGACCATGCCGAGCTGTCAGAGGGCCGGGAAGCACGTCCTCAATGGCAGGTGCAGCCACTTTGTCCCCGGAAGGGAGGTGCTCTGCTATAACCTCCAACTCTTGGTGTCTCCTGCCCTCTGCCTTCAGCCTCAGCAGATTCTCCTTTTGCTCCTTATTTACTCAACAAATAAAACACGTTCATGAACTACTTGTCAAGTGCTACTCACTGTTACGGGTTTGAAACCCCCTGTGAAGCAAAAGACAGGGTCCTCCAGTGGAGTGCATATCAAACGCCAAACAAAGAAGGAGGGAAGGAGGGAAGGAAGGAGAAAGGGGAAGGGAGGAGGAGGGAGAAGAAGGAGGGAGGAGGGAGGAGGGAGGAGGGAGGGTAGCACAGGAGTCCACACGCTCAGATTTATATCT